ATTTTGGTCAATGACATGAGACAAAGTATATGTGAACTGCTGTATGAAAAGTGAATTTACTCTGTAAATCTTCACCCAAATCCTAATTAAAAAAAAAAAAAAAAAGTTAAGGAAGAGAACAATTTTAATCTAGCTAAAATAATTTATGCTATTAATTTAATCAAGGAGCTCTGGCAGCACAGTGCCTAAGGCATTTGACTGCTAACCACAAGGCTGGTGGCTCAAACCCATCAGCTGCTCTTCAGAAGAAAGATGGGGCAGTCTAATTCTGTAAAGATTTATCACCTCGGAAACCCAACGGGGGGCCCGATGAGTCAGAATCAACTCAGTGGTTTTGGTTTATTAATTTACTTTCTTTTTCCTATACAAAAGCTTTTCTACTAGTAGAAAATAATTTTAAATAGATATCTATTTAAAACATGAAAGAATAAATTTTTATTTAGGTTATATGGAAAATCTAATTTTAGGATGGCTATATAAATAAAATTTATATACTATCACTTTTTTCCTTCATGTAATAGACTACTGGTATGCTTCACTGATGTAAGAGAAAGACATGCACTTCAAATACCTTGGGAAATGTGAATCTTTTTAAAGCATCATTTTGAGGTGGGGAAGCAAAGTCCACCCCTTATTTAAACGTCTTACAAATCTAGATCCTTCAAAAATAATTAGCTTATTTAAAAACAGAATCAATTTATAGAACCTCAATATTATTTTCTAGGAAAAAAAATCCTCAGGTTAGAATTGGAGACTTCTTGTGTTCAATGATTGGGGAAAAAAAAAAAAGACTACTGTGGTGATGCTTTGTCATTACCCTAAAATGTTTATTTTCACGTTCTCACAAGATGTCTATGCTATTTGCACTGATGGGCAAAGGTTTTTCTTCAAATTAAGGAAACAATATGGAATACACAGAAAGTAAGAACTCCCAAATTATGAAATCCTGGCCTCTTTTTACAGAGTAGTTTGTAAGAACATACATTCAATTAGGCAATTATCACAAAAATTCTGACAAATTCTTTGTAGAACTTGAACAGGTACAAGGAATCCACTATATTACTCAGGTTAAGCAGGAAGGATCTTAATTTGAGAGATTTTCCAAAGATTTTCTCTTTTCTTTCTTGGGAAAAATCTGGCTATACCTTAAACTTAATCACTTTGATAGTGAGTTAGCTTGTTGTTGTTGTTATTATGTGCCACTGAGTCAGACCCGACTCATAGCAACCCCTCCTTGGGTTTCCAAGGCAGCATCATGACAGAAGTAGATTGCCCAACCTTCCTTCTGAGGAGTGGCTAGTGGGTTTGAACTGCCAGCCTTCTAGTTAGCAGTCAAGTGCCTTAGGCACTATGCTACCAGAGATAGTATAATTTTGCCAATATTTAAAACACTGGTTTATTCAAAACTTTGCATAAAATGTCCATGTGAAAATCTATGAGTACAGTTACTAAAGTTTGAGATAAAGGATATTATGCAAATAGAAGCAGTTTTCGCCTCTGTTACAGTATCCCTGCACGTAGAATTTGCACATTTCCTTTATCTTCTCCAGTTCTGCATTGTGATCAAATTTACACTGGTCTCCCTGGGACAAAAGAAGAAACAAGGAAAAGCCATTACTTTTCGCAGTTAAATCATTACATTTTAATTCCTACTAAGCTTTAGATAAGCAAATGATTACAGGAAGAACAAAGGTCTTAGTGACAGTACGGTCTGATTCTTAATGAGTTATCATATAACCATATCATACATATCTGCTTACAACTTTGTTAAGATTGAAACATTTTTAACACAAAATGTTTAAAAAATTTATCCACTTTATCGACTTCCTTAAACATAACAGAATATTTCACTAAAAATTTTCCAATTGAAACTTTTTCAGAAGAAAACAGTTTTATAAACCTGCAAGTGTGATTTTAGTGTCAAATAGAAACAGGAGGTGGTTTTAGTCCATTTTTGCTATATCTCTCATTCTACGTACCTTAATACATTTCCGTTCAAGAAAATATTTACAAATTTGTTTTCCTTTGCGTTCCACTGTATGCTGGTTGATGAATCCCTGACTCATTTTCACACACTGCTGCTTTTCTTTAGGTTTACCATCCTATAAAAACAAAAATAAAGAAATAAATGTGAGAAACAAAATATTAAATATTTTATTCTTTGTGCAAAGTCGTATTTTAAACCAGGGCTTCCAACTGGTGCATTCTGATTTGACCCCCTGCTGAGAATTTGCACTTCCACCCAGATATCAGTATCTACAAGATGTATAGCTACACAAGCATCACCTGGGGATCTGTAAGACTAAGCCTAATGGAAAGGTTGCCCTCCAGTCTGGAAGCCCTCAGAAAAGCAAAGTACAGGGAAGACACTTATTGTCCTATTCTGATTATATCTGCACACCAAGGGAGCACAATTTCAATATAGCAAAAATTAGGAGGGGTGAAGGTGGAGAGATGTGGAAAGGCCAATACTCAGAAATTAATTTCCATAGGGAGTCATGAACGAATAGACCAGGGACTGCAATAGTAAAAACCCTCTATAACTCTGTGGTTGTTGAAACATCCTCATGGTTATTTTATCTACTCTCTGCTTTCCTGTGTTTCCATAGTTACTGACATAGTTTCACAGTACAACACTCAAAAATCAAAGGTTCACGTGCATCCCTTCATAGGCACAGGGAGAACACTCAGGCTTAACCTGAGTGCTGCCAGCTAACGAGTGAGAGGCAAAGTGGCTGCAGGGATAAGAAAGAAGGAAACGAGGAGCCCACTGAGGGTGAGAGATCTTCACCAACAGAGAATCCTGATTTTGTGGGATGCCCTCACCTCTTCATATCACAGAACACTTCTTGCCACTGAGTTATAAGATAAAATCAAAGAGTAAGAAGGTGTCCTCCTACATTTAGGTTCTTGTACCTCTTCTTGTGAGCCATTTTTTCTCAGCAAAGCACTTGATTCTTTGTTTCCAGGGCCAGCCCACTTTTGCTTCATTTTCTTCTTTTTACCATTCTTATGGCCCGCTTTAAAATTTTTATATTTTTGTTTAACAACTAAAGACAAGAAAGTTAACATTTTAAATGACATAAAAATACCCTAGCAGTTTGCTCTTCAGAAATATGTTCTATAAAAATCCAGGGAAATGTTCTCAACAGCTCAATGGGAGAAAACTGATAAAAGGCTAACTGACCTGTCTTTCTGGAAGCTCTAAGGTTAAGAGACAAAACTGAGACTTCTGATTATAAATCTAGATTCCCAGTTCATTCTTTTTGAAAATGTATTGTCAGGCAAAAATAAAATAAAATAATTAATGGAATCAATCTTGCTCACCAGAATCCAGAACTTTCTGAAGCATTCAAGTATGATGGATCTAATTAGGAACTATCATGGCACTACAACAGTAAAAGCTTAAAATGTTTAAAATGATCTTATATATAATCAACTGTCCTATTTTTTTTTTTTTTATTGAAACATTTTACAGATTAAGTTAATCTACGAATCCATTAGTTAAACAGCAGGAACATTTTGGGGGGCGGGCAATCATCATTTGCATTCACATCTAGGGCCAAATCTCACTTTAGCAGTCTGAAAGAAAGTATTTCTGAGTTATAGGCTGATATACAGCCATGCTTAACATCAATTAAAGTCTACTTTAAATGACAGTGGAACAAACAGGCCATGGATTTGGCATTCTCTCTTTAGAAGTCCTCATGGACTTTGATAACCCTCCTGCACCCCTAGTTCCTCCTGAAAACAGTCAGCATCTATACACGAAGCAGCCATGTCTCAGGTGGGGGTCTCAGGCTCTGTACACTCACTCATACCTGGTATAAACCTGCATGAAAACTGCTATCTTATCATGAGATGAAGTACAGGAGAAAAAACTCCATCCAGGTATGGACATTTATGATTGCTTCTCTAGATCAATTTTAAATGGTTAAACAGTCTGACACTTACCTTGCTGGGTACCTTTTGCTCTCTCTTTTGTCATAGATTCTTCAGGAAATGGTGAAGATTGAGGAGTATTTGCCATTTCTTTAGCTTGCATATATCGTTTAAGCTCATCAGCAAAAGTATCTTGTGATTCCTGACTGCAGATATTGTCATCACTATATACATCATAGTCCTTACTTCTTGATTTTCTACGTTGCAAATTCTTTTGTGATACTGCGGAGTTTCCTGAGTGCCTAAACTAAGCAAAAATTAAATTTCCAGTTTTAAAAAACGAGCACAATTCAAAACGATCTGAGGGGTAAAAGATGGTCATATAAAGAAAAAAGACTGGCCATGAGATCATTGTTAAAGTTGGTAATGAGGACATGGGAGTTCATATACTAGTCTTTCCATCCTTACATATTTGAAATCTCCCAGAATAAAAACAAAGAAAGATCAGTATGGCATATTCATACTTAAAGATGATTTGAGAGAGATTCTGAATCTACACATTATATGCACTTCACTGAATTAAAAGTCTAAACCCCTAAATATTAATTATTTGATATAAGGAGGTTCTAGTATTACAGTTCTTACGTTTTATTTCCCTCTTAGCATCTATTACATTTTTTAATGGTTTAATTCAGAAACTCACTATTTCATAAAAGAACATTATGGTCCAATTAGTAATCCACTTATACTTAAGATATATCTCAACTACCAAAACGTATTCCTTTTTCTATAACTCACAGCAGTGGTGGCACAGGCGGTAGAAGGGACAATGGCAAAGAAGAAAAATCTGCCCTGTTCTTTGTAATCAAGTTGACTTTAACTTTGCTGGAAGGTTGCAGCTTGTGAGTTCTCATGAGATGAGAGAAAGAAGGTTATCTGAAATTGGATGGAAAGTTTAGTATAATTTGTAGATACAGAGGGGTGTAGCTCATAATGAATGCAGCAAACTAAGCTAAGGTTTGTGTTTGTCTGAGGGGTTTGTGTTTGTCTGTATTCTCACGTGGTTCAGGTCACTTTTCAATTGACTTGACAGCACTCAGTAACAACAACAGACAACTGAGAGTTGGCCTTGTTCTTCTGGAATTATGATTTACACCTGTGAAAAACACACTGCTTCTTCTTACTTTGTAATTCAATATAACAAATGTTCTTTTTCAAAAAAGGAAAAATCCACAATCTCACATAATTTAAGAACATTAAGGATAAAGAGAAAAACCTAAAATCTTCCAGAGAGAAAAGGACACTTACAAAGGAACTAGAATCAAACTGGTAAGACTTACATTAGCAATGCTGGATAACAGAAGACAATGGAACAGTAACTTCAAATTTGTGAGGATAAATTACGTTCAATCTTAAAGTTGTATTTCAGATGAACTATCAACTATGAGGATAAACTCAAGATATTTTCAGAGATGGTAATAAGAACTCAAAAAGTTTATCTCCCGTGTGTTCCTGCATAGAGATGTTACCCAGTCAAATAAGAAACAGGTAATGATACTTTTAAAAAGGTCATAATTTATAATAACCTCTAAAACTACCAAATACCCAGCAATCAATCTAACAAAGATATGCAAGACTTTTACAAAGAAAATTATAAAACACTGTTGAGAGAAATGAAAGATTAAAACCAAAAAAACCAAACTCGCTGCCATTGCGTTTACTCTGACTCACAAGACCCACTCTAGGTTGCCAAGGTGATAAATCTTTATGGGAGCAGATTGCCCAGTCTTCCTTCCACAGAATGTTCGTGAGTTTGAACTGTCAGCCTTTGGGTTAGCAGTCAAATGCCTTAACCAAAAAAACACCATATTCACTGCCGTAGAGTCAGTTAGACTCATAGTGACCCCTCCTTGGGTTTCCGAGGCAGTATCTCTACGGAAGTAGATTGCCCAATCTTCTTTCTGAGGAGTAGCTGGTGGGTTTGAACTACCAGCCTTCTGGTTAGCAGTCAAGAGCCTTAGCACTATGCCACCAGAGCTCCTGTCAAAAGCTTTAGGCAATTCTATATTCTAAAAAAATATCAATTCTCTTCTGAAGAGTCTATAGGACTTCTGGTAGCATAGTGCCTAAGGCACTTGACTGCTCACCAGAAGGCTGGCGGTTCAAACCCACCAGCCACTCCTTGGAAGGAAGGTTGGGCAATCCTACTTCTGTAGTGATACTGCCTCGGAAACCCAAGGAGGGGTCGCTATGAGTCGGGGCTGACTTCACAGCATATAACAACAACAACAACAACTAAAGAGTCTATAGAATCAATGCATTCTCAATGAAATTCCCATCAGGATTTTCTGTGGAACTTGATAAACTGATTCTAAAATGTATAGGGTCATGCAATGGGCTAAGAATAGCCAAAGGGGCCCTGCTGACATAACAGTTAAGTGCTCAGCTGCCAAACAAAAGGTTGGCAGTTTAAACACATGCAGTGGCTCCACAGTACAAAGATCATCTGACAATCTGCTTCTGTAAAGATTATAGCCAATGAATGAAATAAGTTGATCACAGAAGGACAAATACTGTATTAGTCCGTTATTGTAAAAAGTCAAGGAAAGGTTTATATATGGAAGGAAATTTTCTTTGTTGATTACCAGGGGTGGAAGGGGAATGTAGGGAACACTGTTAGATAGGTAGAGACAAGTATTGATTTGGGTGAAGAGAAGGGCAATGTACCAAATGTGAGTGATCAACACAGTGGCAATGAGGAAGAAGAAGACACAGAGGGGTGCATGGAATGTACAGACAACAAAGATGAACCCTTCTGCACATACAGTACTGCACTGGCAGTGAAGGCAAACATTTTTTGATATACGGGTGGACAGATGGGTGGACAGGCTGAACTATCAGGTGTATGTAGAGGGGAGTATGCCCATGACCATGTATAGGGTTAACAGGCAATGTTTCTACAAGTGTATTGGTATGTTCTGTAAGAATTCCTAGGGATATAGCACAGCTGACAAGGGACAAGGTTGTAGTCACTTCTTGGCCACAGCCAGCTACCCAGAAGGAACAAGTAGTTGGACCTGTGGGCTCGGGACCATAGTCACAGGGGACATCAAGTTCAATTGGCATAACATACTACACAAAAACATTGTTCCACATCCTACTTTGGTGAGTAACAACTAGGATCTTAAAAGCTTGCAAGTGGCCATCTAGATGCAACAATGGGTCTCTCCTCATGAGGGCAAAGAAGAATGAAGAAAACCAAAGACACATGGAAACAATTAGTCCAAGAGACTGGTACACCATGCGATCCTCAGCCTATACGACTATGAGACCAGGAGAACTAGATGATGCTACCACTGTCAACCACTCAGAGGGGGATCTCTATAGGAGATCCTGGATAGAGTGGGAGAACAATGTGGAACATAACTCAGAATCACTTAAAAAAAAAAAAAAAAAAACAGGTTTGCTGGTGTGATGGAGCCTGATGGAACCACTGAGACTATGGCCGCTAGCTGTCCTTCAAGTCTGGAATTGAACCCAGTCCTGTGGCTTCTAGCCAAACAAAAGACAGGCATATGAGCTGAACATTTACGCTACATAGATACTCTCCTTGGAGAAACCAATCATGGGAGAAAGAGGGGCTGTTTATGCACAGGGAGACAGCTCAGGGGGCAGGAGTGCATGGAGGGAAGGACACAGGGAAAAGGTAACTATGGGGAGGAAGTAAGAGGGGAACTGTTGCATTGTGGTAAATTGCATCGTGGTAAATTGTCATGAGACAAAGTGTATGTGAGCTGCTGTGTGGAAAGTGAGTTTGCTCTGTAAATTTTCACTCAGATCACAATAAAAGTTTTGAAAAAGATTACTGCCAAGAAAACCTTATGAGGCAGTTCTACTCTTTCACATGGGGTCACCGTGAGTTGGAATTGACTAGGTAGCACCTAACAACAACAGTAAGAATAGCTAAGACTCTTAAAAGAAGAAAAACAAGGTGAGAGAATTTGCTTACCTGCTATCTAAATGCATGTAAACCTGCAGTAATTAACACTATCAGGTTTTGGGGTAAGGATAGACAAATGGACCAATATAAAACAACAGAATCCACAAAGAGACCCATCTAAACATAAATATCTGATTTTTGACAAAGCTGACACTGCTGAGCTGTGTGTGGGGGGAGGGGGGCAGTCCTTTTCCCGCTAAGGAATGGTCTGAAATAATGGGCATGCATGACAACCAGTAACAAAAAAAGTAAAACAAAATTAGTCCTCTATTTCATCCAAACCAAAACCAAACCCACTGCCACCAAGTTGGATCCAACACATAACAACCCTTCCTTGGGTTTCCCAGGTATTATCACTACGGAAGTAGACGGCTCAACCTTCCCTCCGAGGAGTGGCTGGTGGGTTTGAACCACCAAACCTCTGGTTAGCAGTCAAATGCCTTATGCACTATGCCACCAGAGCTCCCATAGTATACAATCAAATTCCAGGTGAATTATAAATTTACATGTGAAGGAAAAACATTAAGGCTTTTAGAATATAATGCAGGAAAATATCTTCATTTTCTCAAGATATTTAAGAAAACATTAATCAATGTACTATATGAGAATTATAAACTTTTCATCAAAAAATGCCATAGATTTTTAAGAAAGGAGCCACAAAATGATATCTGTAACACATTACTCACCCACAACAATGAAAAAAAAAACCTCATATCCAGAATACACTACAAATAAGGAAAAACAGACAATGCTATCAGAAAAAAGAGGAGGGCAAAAAGACTTGAACAAGCACAAAGAGGAAATCCAAATGGCCAAACCCATCAAAAGATGCTCCATCTCATTAGTATTCCAGAAAATGCAAACTACAAGCCAGTGTGTGGAGCAATAGAAATACAATCCCCCATACACTGCGTCTGGGAATGAAAACTGGTATAACTACTATGGAAAACAGTGTGGTATTCTGGTTAAGGGAAAGAGGCTCATGCTCCAGCAGACAGCAATTCTACTCCTAAGTGAATGCAGAATACATATGCAGCAGGATACAAGTTAATGAATACAGCACCATTTTCCATAATCACCAAAAAGGAGAAACAGACCAAATATCCATCAAGCAAAGAATGTGGTACATTCAGATAATGAAATAATATAAAGCTACGAAAATGAAGAAACTAATATAATATTTAAGAATCTTAAAAACATAATGTGGACTAGAAGAAGCAAGACAGAAAAGACCACATACGATACTATTCTATTTTTATAAAGCTCAAAAACAAGCAAGAAAAAACTATATTCTTAGGGATAACTACATGGATGGTAAAACTATAAAGAAAAGCAAGGAAGTGATTACTATGCAAGTTAGGATTGTGGTTACCTCTGAGAGGAAACAAGGTGGTATGACAGAGAGAGAAGGTATGGGAGGCTTGAAGATTTTGAAATGTTCTTTGTTGACTTGCCAAGTGTTTACTGGGAGTCCTCTTTATAATTAGCTATGATACTGTACATTTATGATTCAGGGACTTGTGAATAAAGAGCCTGGGTGGGAGCAAGCCTGCTGGGGAAAAACTTCAATGCCCATCTTCTCGTGGTACTGTTCCCTGAAAACTACTTAAGTTAACTGTAGAATGTTGTATCTGCCTTGTTTGCCATATGGGGTTATACATGGGCTGGGGAGCTTTAAGTATATAGGTATATAGGACAAGGCCCTCCCTGACTACTCAAACCAAACTCATAGCCATTGAGTTGATTCTAACTCCAAGCATCTCCCACTGGGGTTCCAACACTGTAAGTCAGCCTCATCTTTCTTCCACAGAGCAGGTAGTAGATTTGAACTGCTGACCTTTTGGTTAACAGCCAAATGCCTTACCCACAGCACCATCAGAGCTGACTGAGACAGTATAAAAAATATGTGGGAAATCAAAGTTGCAGTTTTTCAGTATCAAGATGACTAATAACCCACACAACCCATGGCTCTCATCTATAGGAGTCATACAAGCCCCAAAGGGTAAAAGAAGTTGTATACTTGGGTAGTTGCTAGGCCTCCTAAGGAGATGAAAATGTGGTACCTGCTCTCTCTTCTGTCTTTCATCTTTCTATAAAGCTAAGTAAAAGAGCATCATATTAAAGCTATTGTGTCTCGTCTGCTTGCCAAATCAAACCTATTCTTCTGTAGATATGTTAAAGTTCACAAATACAAAAAAAAAAAAAGGAAGAGGGAAGAGAAGCAAGTATTGGCTATAAATCTCAGTAGGGTGGTTAAGTTAGCAAATCAAAACTCTTAAAATGTTTCATCTAATTTGAAAGGAACAGACGTTCTTAAAAGTTCTTAAAATTCATTTCAGAAACAGGAAAAACCCAAATCAGAGAAATTCACAGGAAATAGTTCACATTAAATGAGAGCAAGGTTCTTGAGTGATAAATTTTTAAAAACCCTAACCAAGTTTCCTTGACATAAGTAAACAGGTTCCAAATGTTGACTAAAATGAGACAAACAGGATTCCTGGCTAGTTTTTGAGAATGTCAAATCAGCCTTACTTTTTTGGGAATTTGCTCACACTCCAGTTTTATTTTCTCTTCGTGTGTTTCTTCAACTTCTGTATCATTGATTTCATCATCGGTTCTGCACAAAAACATCAAATAACACAAAAGGGGTTTTTTGACCTGAAAAGGCTTCATACCAAAGCATTAAGATTCACTGCTTTGACTTATCTTCAACCTGCCCTCAAAGACATCCCAAATATTCAAATTCCACTCCAAAGACTCCGGAGAAATAATGTATAAAATTATTATGAACAGTTAAATGTCCATATATGTTTACGAGTAAGCTGAAATGCTATAATCTTAGATTACATAACCTTAACGTTCAAGTATTAGCAACTACAGATATCATTCATTTATCCATCATTCCATTCACTCAACAAATACTGAATATCCACCATACCCAGGCTCTGTGCCTTAATGCTAGGATGCAACATGGAAAATACAGATGCTGTGCCAGTCCTCTGAGAGCTTTCTATCTGCCTGGGAGAAATGAACCCATTTCAACACAGTATGATAAGTAGAAGTCCATCTCTGAGCAACACTTACGGTAGACCTGGAGGCCTGAGGTTTTCTGAACCTAAAAGGCTCATAAGCATTAGCAAACAAAGAGGAGTGTAAGGGAGAAGAGTATTCTAGGTAACATGAACAGTGCACCCTGAAGTTAGGATGAAGTTGAAAAAGAAAAGCTGTTTTCAGACTTTAAAACACTGAGAAGTTTATCACCCACCATCCACAGACATCATCTCAAACAATTCCTTGAGGATGTTCCAGCAAACTTAAAAACGAGTCCAAGAAAGATAAAGATAGGAAATACAAAAAACTGGTAAACAAAGAAGCCAGTAAAATTTATTAAGTGAATCTAAATAAGATTGATGCTGTAGAGATAGGGGACAGAAAATGGTGTCAAAGCAAGTTGCGACTGCTGAATGAAAGCTTTAAGTTAAGATGAAGTACTTGCCAGACAGCGTTGGGCTGCTAACCAAAAGGGTGGAGGTTTGAGTCCATTCAGAGGTGCCTTGAGACAAAAGCCTGGTCATCTACTTCCAAAAAATCAGCCACTGCAAACCCTATGGAGCACAGTTCTACTCTGACACACAAGGGGTTGCTGGGAGTCGGAACTGACTCCACGGCAATGTTTTCACTGGTGACATGCCGGACAAAAGCAAAGACTAGGAAATGTGTATAACCCTACAAGAATGTGTCACAAACTGTCAGAACAAAGGTAATGTGAATAGTGGCTTTCTGCTTTCTTTTCAAAATTATGGTGGCTCAGGCTTCACAGCTTTATCAACTCAATAGTTGACCACTGATCTGTCCCAAGTCAGACACTTTGAATTACATCTGTTAGATGAGGTAGCAAATTGTGAGCCTTTCACAGAAGCAAGTGCCAATAAATAAAATACTTGTGAACCTTTACTGTTCCAGCCTTCAATAACGAATCATCATATGCAGTAGGAAGCAAGCACTCCTTAGTTGCCATAATGCCATAATGACAATATCGACTACAAGAGTAGTAACAGCAACAGCTAACACTAACATAAAACTTACTATGCACATTATGGATATATTTTTACAAATGAGAAAATTTATGTAACTTGTCCAATGTTACAGAGATAGTGAAGGGTGGAGCTAAGATTTGAGCCCAGGCAGACAGGGTCCAGAGTGTATACTCCAAAACCACAATGCCCACTCCAGACAGGTGTCCCCTCTCACCACTTCACTATCAAGGTCAGCTCACAATTCTCAGTCCCATATTACCTGACAGGACAAAGTTTATCACCCTCTCCTCTCTATCACCCTCACCACTCGTCTGTCAGTTTGGTGTACTGTGGTGGCTATGAGGCTATGTTGCTATGAGGCTGGAGGCTATGCCACTGGTATTTCAAATACCAGCAGGGTCATCCATGGTGGACAGATTTCGGCAGAGCTTCCAGACTAAGACAGACTCGGAAGAAGGAAGGAGCTATCCATTTCTCAAAGAACTGGCCAGTGAAAAATTTATGAATAGCAGTGAAACACTGTCCAATATATTACTGGAAAACTTTATGAATAGCCCTGAAACACTGTCCAGTATAGTGTTGGAAGATGAGTCCCTCAGGTCGAAAAGCACTCAAAATACGACTGAGGAAGAGCAGCCTCCCCAAAGTAGAGTCGACATTAATGATGTTGATGGAGTAAAGTTCTCAGGACCTCTATCTGCTGATGGAGCTTGGCTCAAAATGGGAAGAAAGAGCTGCAAACATCCATTAATAACTGGAATGTGGCCAACAAACATATGAAGAAATGCTCACAATCATTAGCTATTAGAGAGATGCAAATCAAAACAACAATGAGATACCATCTTGCTCCAGCACT